CCCCCATCCCGTCCTGAGCCCAGGCAGGAAACTCTGTGAGCCGGAGGCTGGGAAACGGCGAACTGGCTCACACTCACTCCGCTTAGAGGGAACACTGCTCTGGAGCCCCAGAGATAGAAAACTGTGTGAGCCGGAGGCTGGGAAACGGTGAGCTGGCTCACACTCACTCAGCTTAGAGGGAACACTGCTCTGGAGCCCCATCCCTTCCTGAGCCCAGACAGAAGACGTGTGAGCCGGGGGCTGGGAAACAGTGAGCTGGCTCTCACTCACTCAGCTTAGAGGGAACACTGGCTACCGGCATTAAAGTTGTGAGCGAGCGATTTGGCCGCTGCATAAATCAGTTTGCTCTGGAGCCCCATCCCTTCCTGAGCTGAGACAACAATGTGTGAGCCGGAGGCTGGAAAACTGTGAGATAGCTCACACTGAACTGACTCAGCTTAGAGGGAACACTGCTCTGGAGCCCCCATCCCTTCCTAAGCGAAGACAACAATGTGTGAGCCGGAGGCTGGAAAATGGTGAGCTGGCTCACACTCACTCAGCTTAGTGAGAACACTGGCTACTGGCATTAAAGCGAGCGATTTGGCCACTGCATAAACTAGTTTGCTCTGGAGCCCTCCTTCCTGAGCTGAGAGAAAACTGTGTGAGCCAGAGGCTGAAAAACTGTGAGCTAGTTCTCACACTCGCTCAGCTTAGAGGGGACACTGCACATGAGGCTGCCTTCTCCAAAGTCAGGCCCTATGGGTCCATCACAGTCAGTCTAGCCTACTCAGACTGGCAGGAAAAAGGTCTTTCACGTCATCTGCTGCCTCCTCCTGGGACCTTCTGCATGCCCAGCAGAGGCTGTGCCCAGTGAGCCACAGCCAGCCCCTCCTTGGACGGAGGAGGAGGAGGAGGGGGAGAGCAGGCCCTTCCCCGCCCCCTGGAAGAGCCTGGAGGCCGGAGGAGGCAGACGAGCTTTGGGATCAGTCTTGTGCCAGTTACGGAAAAGGAGGAGAGTGAGCCTAGCAGCTCTTCCTTGGAGACCGCTATTAAAAATAGAACTGTGCAGCCCATTGGCTGAGAAGAACAGCTGGAACATCAGCCCGGCTTTTGCAAAGGGGGGTCGCGTGGCTCCCAACCTCTGGAGTGTAAACAAGCATCTGGAGAGGAGCGCTGTGATGAGGACGGGCACTGGACTGGCCCCAAGCTTTTCACAAAGGCCTTCCTTCATCGAAGGCTGGGTAGCTCATCAGAGAAGAGGGACTCCAGTGAGATGGCTGGCAACGGGTTAAACTACAGAGGAACAGGGAGGGCAGAGGAGATTCTCACCGCGGAAGAAAGGAAGCACTGACGGGGGTCGGCAGTGGGGCCGGTGCTGTATCAATTGTTCATAAGAGGTCTGTAACCGGGCGGTGAAGGGGACCAGGTTTGCAGATGACACTGTCTTGCTTGGGGTGGTGAGAGCCAGCCTGCGCACACTGTCAAGAGCTCCAAGAGGGTCTCTCCAAACTGGGTTTATGAGGTTTAATGTACACATAGGCATAAAGTAAAGCACACACGAGGCTTGGGGACCCTGACTTCAGGCAGATAAACGCTGCCTCCTCAGGGACAAGTCACAATTTCTGACAGCAAACTCTACACAGCCTGCGTCTGAAATCCGTTGTGTTCCAAACTGGAGGCTTCAGCTGTGTCAATTCAGGGCCAAACAGGTATCGGATTAACAATACCGATGAGTTCCGACCTGGCAGTGACTGACCAGGAAAGAGATCTTCAGGTCTCCTGGTGGGAAGCTCAAAGAAAAGGTAATTTAAATAAGGAAAGCTAATCCTAACAAGAGAGGGGTTCTCCGGGTAAGTAGAAAGGCGGAGTGTGGGGTTATTTGGGGCTCCGCCCCCTTTCTTAGAGGCACAGCCCCACAGGATTCTCCTCAAAAAGCTTTGAGTTCTGAGTAGACACTCGCATCCGCTTCAGTTATACTTTTCCTCTCTCTCTCTATGCCCCCCTCATCTATCGTCTGGAGTTTTGAGATAATTGCAGCCCCACAAGACATTTTTATTTATTTATTTATTTATTCATTATTTGTATTTATAGCCCGCCCATCCTGCAAGCGGGCTCAGGGCAGGCAACAGCATAAAAACAGTACAGTAAATATGATTAAAATTAAACAAGTTAGAAAATGTAAACAATTAAATAAACATTAAAACTGAATCACACCTCTGACAGTCACTGGTTGTACGGTTCTTTAGCATATTATTTGGGTTAATAGGTGGATAGGTGACAAGCCGCCTCAGGGAGGCCGTAGAGAGACGTCCGCTGCCTCAGCCAAAGGCCCTGGCGGAAGAGCTCGGTTTTAACAGCCCCTGCGGAACTGAAGAAGATCCTGCAGGGCCCTAATCTCGACTGGGTGCATGTCCCACCAGGCAGGGGCCAGGGCGGAAAAAGCAAGACGGATGTCCTTCGGGCCAGGAACAACCAGAAGATGTTTATCGATAGAGCGCAGTGCTCTTTGGGGCGTCTATGGGAAGAGGAGGTCCCTCAGATATGTGGGTCCCAGGCCGTGTAAAAACCTGGCTACAGGCCTGCAGAGCTGGGACTTGAGACCCCTCCCGTCTTGGATGGGGTTATACTCCCCTTGGAAAGCCAGGTTCGCAGTTTGGAAGTGCTGCTTGACGCATCGGTCACCTTAGAAAACCAGGGGGCTGCAGTGGCTCGGAGCACTTTTGCCCAGCTTTGACTGGTGTGTCAGCTGCGTCTGTTTCTGGGCCAGTCAGATCTAGCCTCAGTGATCCATGCCCCTTAGTTACGTTGAACTGGACTACTGCAATGTGCTGTACCTGGGGCTACCCTTGGAGAGTATTCGCAAGCCGCAGCTAGTGCTGAATGCTGTGGCTAGACTGCTGGTCAGGGCCAGCTTTTGGGATCATGTGACCCTGAAATTACAGCAATCACGCTGGCTACTGATCTGCTCCTGAGCCGAATTCAGGGGCACCTGAAGGATCCTCTTCTCCCAGACGTTCCAGCCCAGAGGCCCTCTGGAGTGTCCCATCAATCAAAGAAACTCCTCTGGTGGGCACACACGAGACAGGGCCTTTTGGGGGGCCGCCCCATGGTTATGGAACAGCCTGTCCCCCCTCACTTGAAATCTTTAGGAGGCAGCTGAGGACAGTTTTATTTAGGACTGCATTTGATTGATTTACTAGCAGCCCTAAATTCTGATTTTAGAGTTTGGTATTTTATGTATTTTATCTACATTGTAAGCTGGCATGAGTTCTGTCAGGTAGAAAGGTGGCTAATATATGTTTTAAATAAGAAAAAAAAACCCACCTAATTTCAGTCTGCAGCAGCCGTCGTTCAAAAGCCGCCCTGGCCCCTGAGCCCGCCTTGGCGGGAAGGGTGGGGTATAAATCGAGCTAATAAATAAATAAAAGCCAACTCTGTGCTAGGGACCCTTAGGAACAGGACCGGAAGCAACATATCCAGGGTCAAGGAAGCACTTCTGACCACCCCGTCCTAACAGTCTGGGGCAGGCAAAGCTTGTGTGTACTGAGGGGCAGTAGGCTGGCTGGTTTTAAAAGAGGATTTAGGCCGCTTCTTGAAGGAGCGGTCCACCCGTCAGGGGCTCCAAGCCAGACTGACTCAGTGGAACCTCCCTGCCCAGAGACAGAAGACTTTTCAATACCAGCTGCGGGGATGGGGGATGGGGAGAAGGCCTCCAAGCCCTGCTTGCAGACTCCAGAACCGGATCGTCGAAGGGGCTGGGATCCCAGTGTGGTCCCGGTTAAGTCCAGCCTCCCCCCCACACACCAGTGTTCCCTCTAAGCTGAGTTAGTGTGAGCCAGCTCACGGTTTCTTAGCCTCCGGCTCACACATTTTTATCTCTGCTCAGGAAGGAGGGCTCCAGAGCAAACTAACTGATGCAGCGGCCGAATTGCTTGCTCACAACTGTAATGCCGGTCGCTCACAAAGTGGAATTTTTGCTCACCAGACTCCACAGCTTGGAGGCAGCATTGCCTCCCCCCCCCCCAGGTGCTCCCAATTCCCCGTTGGGCTGTGGAGGGGGGTGCCCAACCCATCCAGTCTTGGGGTGGGTGAGCCACTTGAGAGGCCCAGCTGGGCCCCAGGGCAGACACGCGAGGTGCAGCCTGCTGCCCTGTCCTCCTCCTCCTCCATCCATGCCCCTCTGTCAACAGACTGTGGACTGTCGGACCC